CTTCACATTTCAGGTACCAGTGGGATTAACCTTGCTCCTTTTTTTCCTTGCAGTGAGAGCTTAGGTTGTTCCCCCAGTTCTGTATGGGCTCTTTTAGCTTCATTTCTGTCCAGTTATGTATAAAAGTGTTTGCCTCACATTTTTCAATGGCACATTAGCATTCATTATTCTCCTGAGTCATGCTTTCTAACCTTCTGACTGAATGACTTTCTGGATTCATTTCCATTGCTCATGTTTTGTGAATTTTTTGCCATTTCCATTTGCACTTTCATTAGTCCTCTCAACTACCTTTACCTTTCATAATGTTTGAAGTGATTCTTTTGACATTTGGGGTTGCTGAAGTGATGCATGGGGTGTGTCCAGCTCTCTTTTTAGAGTGATGTAGTGATGATCTCTTGAGGTCTGAACTGCAGCCTAAGCTCATTCCAAGCTCCAATTCATCCTGCTGCAGTTTTCTTTGAACCACTGAAGCTGTTATATTAATAACTGGATTATAAGCATAGCTGGTTTTTAGTCCTTCATGTGCTTTTGATGCTAATTCTACTTTAGGACTGTGTATTGTTTTAATATGAATACCTTAAATAAAGTATCCTAAAATGTGCAGGAACTTGCTTCAATGGATCAAGCCCTATTCTCTACATGCATTTTGAGTTCTGTCTCCCAGCCTGAGTCTGTCAGAGGTGCATGGCATTTGATATGTATTTTCTTTCTCTCAGGAGTGAGACTCAACCTCCACTGTAGGACCGACTTCAAAGTGCAGCCTCTATGGAAATTTAGCCTACTTACACCAGGAGACCCATGAGTCACTCTATTACAGTATCTTAGCTGCTGGAGTCCACAAAGCATTTCATAGTTTCCTTCACAAACAACACATTTAGGTGGTTCATTTCCAAAGGGGAAAAATCTGAAAAGCATAACTTCTAGTGTTTGGTAAAAAAATCCAATCTAAACCCACACCAACAACAGAGAATGTATTTTAGGATTTCTTTTAAATATTACTTTTTAAATTATCCAGAATGCCTTTTCACATCAGTGTGGTAGTGTGCCTTTGGGCCACCAAGTCAGAGTTTCTTCTGGAAATACGTGGTAATTGCCTTTGAGCTGTAAGTGCTCCAGAGTAGACCTGCCCTTTCTAAAATAACTCTTCAAGGGTATTTCTGTTACTCTAATTCACTCAAAGTGAGTTGCTTAAAATCTCTGGACTCTCTGACAGATGAAATGGAATTGATTGCAAGACATTCTGCTCTGCAAAGAATTCCCAAGCAGTTTTTTCAAAGGACTTATTACCAATAGAATGTAGGCACTCTCAAAATAAGAACAAAGTAAAACTACCAGCTGTCAGCTAGAAGGAATATCTGAGAAAAGGAATGAAAAACTTAGTGTGTAGTTGATAATTAATCTGTAAGGTGCTGCAGACTCCACTTAGCTTTTATAGTATCTAGAGGGAAGAGATGTAATCCACCATCACGTATATTCCTCTGTTCTTCTATCAAAAGGTTGTTAGGTCTCACCTCTTAAAAGATTTGTGCACATATTTAATCTTCTGACTTTACAAATGGTAAAATTAAGCATGTAGGTCAATTTCTGCATGAAAAAGATGTGGGTGTTTTTTTTTTGTTTTTTTGTTTTTTTTTTTTTTTTGGTCACATCAGCTAAAGTAAACTGCAGGAGGAATCAGGGAAAATTTCCAAACCATTGTGTTTAGACTTGCTTGGAAAGGTTCCTGAAGTGCATCTTCCTCAGATTTCTCTGTTGCTCCTGAGTATCAGGATTGTGATAGATACATATGATTCTATTTGAGTTATCTAAAGTGCTTTCTAGTAAAGTCTTCTTTTCCAGTAACTGAATTTTCAAGATTTTCAAGAGGAAAAAAGTTCTCACTTGTGAAAAAAACACAGAAAACACACTCATTTCGGAGCAAAAATGAATACTCTGCTTTGATTAAAAAAGCCAAAGCATTCTATTGCTCAGGTATTAATTTTCTACACACATACCTCCTGCTTAGGGAGGCTCTGCAGTACACCTTTCCCTTTCAACCCTTGTTATTTGGTGCATTTGTTTCATTTAACAATAAGGAACTGAAACATTACAATGTGGAGTGAGGAAAAACAGCCTTTTAATACCATTTGGTTGCTTGCCAAATATTTTGCAAGCGTTCCTGTTAGGACATATTATGTGAGCATACATACTACATTATATATATACAGCATATTTATATTCTTACAACATGTTTAAACTTCTCACTTATAAATGTCTTGTACATCTAGATTCTCCTGGGAAAGCAAACCTGCACAACCTGCCCTTGTCGTTCTTCCTTGGCAAGGTTAATGTGGCTTTTGTCATGTAGGGGGATCTTGAAGACTAGGTCAGCACTGCAGGCAGCTTGCAAATGGGTGTGTTCCAAGGGAGAGGGAGCAAATCAGAGAGGAAACCTGAATGTGATGAAAAGATAGAAAAGTGATAGTTAGAGATCAAAGTATGTTGATTCAGTTGTATAATTTGGCCTCAATATCAAACACAGGTTACAGTTCACCGGGGAAATTTTTCTGTTTGCCTGTTCTCCTCCCAAAAAAAGAGGAGTGAAGAGGAATGGAAAAGGGAAGCAATTCTAAGATCCAACCAATTGTTTTTAATTGTAGCAGAGCTCAAGTTGGGAGTATTTGGAGCATTGCTGAATGACATGTTCCCTGCCTGTTTGTTTTACTTTGTGGGGTTTTTTTTTTGTTTGTTTGTTTGGTTTTTTGTTTATTTTTGTGGTTTGTTTTGTTTTGTTTTTTGTTTTTGGTTTTTTTTTTGGTAAGGGAATTTGTTTGGTTTTGGTTTAGTTTCGGTTTAGTGTTTGGTTTGGGGTTTTTGTTAGGTTTTTTTTCTCTTCCTTTGGAAATTGTAAACTCTAGTAAACTCTATTAAATATAAATGTTTATAAATATAAATATTTATCACATAATGGATTTTGGATTTTTTTCATCAAACACGAGGCAAGTTCTTCAAGATGCTTTTCTTGGTAAGAAATGACAAAGAGTGCCAGTGGGAATGCTTATATGATCCTTTATGTTTTCCTGCTTGAAGTATGTGAACAGTGAAATTGCAGCTGAGAACTGTTGCAATATTCTGGCAGGAATGCACTTAATTTCTTCTTTCTCAGCAAGTTCCTACATGCAGCTATTACTACAAACAGAGACTTTCTTCTCATGTCTTTGCCCAAAACATTAAAAAAAGAACAAAAAAAGGCAAGCAAAAAACCTTCCCACATTAAATTCAAGACAAAAGGAAATAAGTTGTCTGTAGGGAGGCTGGTGCATACGCTCTTAAAATCATCTTCCTATTGAAGTCTCTCTGAACTTTTTGATGCTATAAAGCATGGCCAAATTTTCTTCACCGATGAGGGAAACTTGGCATTCTATTTCTTTGGAAAGTCACTTTTATTCTTTTCTTTATTTCATCAAGGGGTTTCTAGAACAGCCGTGTGCTGCAATATTATAGAACATTTTCCTATGATGTGGACCCATGGGGCCTGATGATGTTTTGTCCTGTAGTATTTTCAGTAGCTGCAAATGCCTAAGGAACATTGTCCTGAGAGAGAGAAGCTGTGCTACAGGCATTGACACTGCATGGACTGTTTACAGAAAACACAAGGCAACAGGGAATTCAGCAGCGTTGTTCTCATGAGTAGAGCTCTTTCTTTGCCTGTCCTCTTGCAGTGTCACCACATTGCAGACTCACCCTACGCCATTGTTCAAACAACATGTCTGAACAACAGATTATTTTGTTCATTGGCCAAATCTGAAAAGCTAGCGGGGAGGTGAGAAGTGAGTCCAGTAGAAAGGAAGCTACTCACATTTTAAGCTAAATTCAAAACATACAGCTAAATTTGTGGGATCTTCAACATATTTTCCTTGCCAGCTGGATTGTTTTAAAGTAAAAGATATGTTATTTTGAAAGGAACAGTAAAAATTTCATTCAGGAAAATATTTAAATAAACACCTTATCTAAACAAGCCTTTCAATTTTAAAAACATCATAACACTAATGTTGATAGTCACTACTTAAATGTTTTCCTGTTGATTTTTGATCTCTTCCCCTGTCAGATTGGTAAAATATGAATTTCATTCCTTCCCCTAAATTGCTTGGAACTTGTGGGGAATCTTTTTCTCTGTTTGCAAAAGATGGGCCAAATAATGTATTTTTAAGCCTATTGATTTTCATCCTTCCTGGTTAAGCTGTAAAAATGTCTGCTTTGTTCCCACAGAAATTCCTATTCTGTGAGAGCTACTCCAAACTCCTTTATCCAAAATACTATTACTAATACCTTTATCTAAAAATGCTAATTTAATTTCTGTGAATCTTTCTTCCTGCTGTAATGGAAAGCCCCTCAAGTATATTACCATGCCTGCTACAGTTTGCTGTATCAGTTCCACATGCTAATGTGATTTCCTGAAAGAGGAGATGAATATATTTGTTCTGCAGTGAAATTGGGGGGGAAGAAAAAAAAAGAGAAAAACCTGAACAGTGCTTTAAAGAGAGTAATCTCAATGGAAAATATCAAATTGGTTCTACAGTGTGAGTGTTAGATGTAAAATCTTGCTCTAGCACAGACTCCAGACTTTCTCTGCTTCTCTGGCCAGTGAGGGATGTTGTTTCTGCCACCTGTTTGGAGACAATTGTGCAACTGGGACTGTGGAATGACGTCCAATTGCCTTTTTTAGAATATGAATAGGACTTTTGAAATTGGCTGTGCTGAGCAGTTTGGGGCTGAATCACTCTGTACACTTGCCAGAGAAAGCGTTTAGCTGATGGACCTGAGCCAAAGCCCACTGAATCTCACAGCAACGCTGTTTTTGGCCTTGGTAGGCTGGGGCTTAAACTCTGTATGAATGACAGCTACTTTTCTGGAATTATCAATAAAAACTTATGATTTCTAGTTTCTGACTTCATTTTGCCAAAGTATTTTACCTACGTTTTTTCAGTTTGAGCCACCACTGCCTGGTCCTGCTCTTCCCTCCTCTGAAATGGGTGTTACGTGTGATGGTAATGTGGATGCTTCATCATGAAAATGTCAGGGGTAAGCAGCAATCTCAGAGCTCAGCTGGCTGAACTGCTTAGTCCCACTGTCCGCTCACTTTTCATTTTTACTCACTTTTCATTTCTGAGTGTGTGCTATTTTGAAGTGCCTCAAATGCTCTCAGACCCCAAGCTATTTTGGATGTGAGCATGTCATTTCCCTTCCTTCTGCTGCAATCACAATTGGATCCTGCAGGCACTTCCCATAACAGGCCTCAGTTATCGACGGCAAGAGTTCCAGTGCATTTCCCTTCGCAAAGACTTTTGTTGCCAGATGGGAGTTGTTACTTGTTTATGTCAGTCTGTGAGTAATGCCTTTTTGCTAGAATTGTACACAATGTTTTTAGGTTTTTTGACATTTATCCATTCCGTTGTTAGACAATGCTTGCTTTGCAAGTTGTAAAAAGCAATCTTTTACCCTCAGGTGTCATTTTTTCTGCATTTTGCCCTTTTTTTTTTTTTTTTTTTTTTTTTTTTTTGTCATTATATTCCAGTTTTAAAGGTAAAAAGAATAAAAGTAGAAAAATTAACAAGCTTGGAGGCCTTTCCCAGTCTGCTACTCACTGCTGTGAATAGATGTTAAACATAGATTTCTGTGCCCACTTTCAGTCTCCTTTAATCTGTTACAGCAGTGTTACTGCTTTCATGCTATCTTCCTTGGTTTTGTGGGATGCAACCTAATTGTACCAGCCCCAGCATTTCTGTTAAATGGTAGGATGAGCTCTGCAGACCTCACTCCATTGTAATCCATACAATAATACCTTATCTTATGGGTCACTGGGCATGTTTTATGAGAAGAACACTTAAACCATGCTAATTTTGTATACTGACTTTCAGTATTTGGTCCATCACTATGAAGTCATAACTTCAGGATCTCTTTAATTCTTTTTCATTTCATACACAGAAGAAACATTTTATCCTTCCATTTGATTGCTTCCTAACTTTTTTCTCTGTTTTTATTCTAACAAGGTTGGCTTTAGCATGGCTGTATAGACTGTATTGCTGTAATTGTGTCAAAACTGTGGAGACACCTTCAGAGCCAAATTGTACTTCATACTTGTGCTATATTTCTACATAGAAAATGGACAGCCCATGCCTACCAGACTATTTCCTTGTGTTGCTTCTTGTACATAGATATATAAAAATCTTCTCCAATAGCCCACTGTGAAGAAATGTCCCAATTTCACATAGTCCCTATGGATCAAGCTCCCTGTAGGTGTACTAAGAAGATGGGTGTTTTTGATCTTCCACACTGGCCAACTAAAAACTCTCTATTTTGTAAATTTATGGCCCTGTATGCCTTTCCCACCAGAACTGCATGCCCTGTTACAGTGAATTAGAACCTCCCAGGAATGCTCTTTCTGGCTTTAGTTATTTTTCACAAACCTCTTTAAAATAATTCTTAACCCTGAATATGTAGGTAACATCTGCACTGTGCATTCTACAATGACAACTATTTTACGTGAAACTTGTCAGAACTTCTGATCAGATTCTAATTTTATGGTAGTTCTTTTGTTGTTTGAAGTTTCCTCCCACTTAGGACTTTGGAATGGTTTGTGAGAACATTCAAAGAAACAGATGACTGTTGTTAAGACTCTGTCTTCTCTCTAGAACTAATTCAGCTGTAGAAAAAAAATAAAGGAAAAATATGCCCTCAGGCATGCTTTCCCTTATGCATATACTCATGTCCCATGAAAATATTTATCTGTAAATTAGCAGCTTGGTTTAGTCTTGTCTCTCAAGGTTATCTGGTTGCAGGGTGTAGCATGTGCTTCATAATAAGTGAAAAACAAGTTTAATCACTGAAATTCTGTTCTTTTCAGCTGCAATAAGATGCAAGATCAAGGTAACAAATTTTATTTCCAGCTGAAGCTGCAGGGTAACAGGCCGCTGCTGGTTTTCCCTGCAGACAACAGCAAAGAGCACATTTTGTGTCAAAGTAATTGCACTAGCAGGTGCCGTTGAGCAACTGTGTTTTGGTTGCGACACTATTGTGGCTCATTGCTTACCACAAATGTTTATGTATAAAAAAATTCAGTTCTGCTTTTAAATTCCTATTCAACTGACAAGGAAGAATAGGGTAGACAATGGTGAAGCAATAACTACAGTTTAAAAGGGAGCAAGTCTCCTTCCCTTTCTGGTGGGTGAGTACCACTGTTCTATCACAAGTCCTTCCGTAGGTGTTTATCACAGCAACCGTAAACCGGCATTCAGTGCTGGCAATATGGAAATCCATAAGAACTGGAAGAGATAGTTGCAATGGGATACATGCTGATATGACTATGTCATATTTTTAGGGAATAATGTAATTTCATGCACCATACTGTCCTGGCTGAGGGCTCCATGTCCCTCCTGTGACTCTCTTCTTGCCTGCCTTCCTCATGTGCTCCACCTCAGGGCTTGGCAGCTCCTGCTGCAGGAAAAGCATCTGGGGAGAGATGCAGCGAAGGGAGGGCCAGCAGAACAGCACCTGGGGGCCCATAGCATTTAGGGTGCACAGAAACATTGATAAGCTTGGTTTCTCCTAGTCTTGTGAATCCATGTAAATTTACTTGCTGAAACCATTACCTGTTTGTGCCAGGCCCAAGAAAATGTCTAATTTGAGTTTTTCAAGGCTGTGGACAGCTGTAGAGGAGGGAACTTCAAAGAAATGCATTGATGCCTCAGGCTTTAGCTTTTATATTTTTCAGATTCTGTACTGCTTTAGTGCATAATTCTGAGCTTCATATTAGGGGATAGTAAGCTCTCTTCACAGAGTAGGCAGATAAAACAATTCCTTTTGTAGCTGGGGACCAAGGGCAAATGATCCAAATTTCAGACCCAAGAGCATAAACAATGGTGACTGAAGGTAGAAAAACAAGGATGGGACTTGATAAGTTAATGCTAAAATTGGACAATTAACTCCAGTATGCTAATGGATCAGAACTTATAAAAGTATGAGACCTCATGACCAGTTGTCTATTTTGTGAACATTTTGGGTCCATCTTGGGTGTAGCCCTGGCTGGGCTCTTATGCTGCCCAAGGTGTATCCATTGAGGCCTTCTAATAAACATCTACTTTATTCTTAACTTCGTCTAGTCTCTGTTCTAGTTCAGCCTTCACAAGGCATCAGCATGAGCTGAAATACCCCATGTCTGAGCTGCAAACCTTGTGTGAGATACCCCAAGGGTGTGGTGTTAACAGGTTGCAGGTATGTACACAGATGTAATAGGACAGATATAAGATCTCCTAAAGATAGATTCGCCAAATTGAAATTTAACAATCTAAAAATGGAACCTGTGCCTTTAGCACAATATCTCACTCAATATCATATATATCAGGATATTTAGCACTCAATATCCCCATAAAACTAATACACACCTCATACAGTCTAACCTAGATGTCTATATCAAAATTAGTGTGTATCTCTCCTTTTGGAAGCCAAACATTTATGCTTGCATCCTGCCAAATGCATGCAGTATAAAGACATCAGCTCCTCATAATACACTGAGAACAGCCTGGGAGCAGGGCAGAAATGTCCATGTCCCATTCCCAGCCCCTTCATTTTCATGCTAGTGAGAATGAAAAATACTGTCAAGATGTGGGATGATGCTTCCAATTGGGGTGAATATTTGTAATTTGTTTCTTGAAGGAAACATCCGTGCACTTTTGCTAACAACTCTTCATATGCTTGGCTGTGGAGGAGTTCCCTTGTTCTTGTCTGCTTGGCATCTTTGCTGCCCTTAGAGCACTCTAGTTTGTTGTGATTGCCATTGCTTTGTACTCTTCAGAACACAGTGTTTTACAGTGTTTTGCATCTAATTATTTTCTTACACACTGTCCATGATACAGGTATCAATAGTGTTTGTATTTTTATTTATTTTTCATCCTTTTATCCCCTCTCTTTAGACAGCTAAATGAAACTGCCAAAGCAGTTGTCACGTGTTTCAACTGAATAGCCACAATACTGTGGTGCAGTGCAATAGTTTCCCTTTCCTCTCTCCCCACCCCAGATATCAAGTTCCCTTACACTGACACCCCTAGAATGTGGTTGGAGACTCCTGGAATAGATTGAAGTTGGTCCACTGAAGGGAAACAGCTGAGAACCACTTTCCACCAGGACAAAACTGCTGTATCCAAAGGGACACCAAGGGCATTATACTTATCTGCTCATGCCAGTTTCTTTCTGACAGAAGACATGGCTGACCAGTAAACCATGACTGACCAGTAAACCTTTTTGAAAGAGATTTCCTCTTTTGGGCTAGCTGAATGATTTTGAGGCAACATCAGGCTAAGAAGACCTCTGCTATCTGACGTACTTTTACTTAATAATTTTTGGGACACTTGATTGATCTTAAGATATTAATTTTTGTATAAAATAAGGCTAAAATTGACAAAACATGGTACTGGTTCTTTTTCTAGTTCATGCTTTCAGTTTTGTAGAGGAAATCTGATGTTTCAGACTGGGCTATTCTATTGAACTTCTAAAAATTGCCTTCTCCCACTACCAACAAGAATGAGCTTGGACCTGCCCTTGGGTGCCATTCTCAGGGCCGCAAAATTACCCTGGGCACAGGGGGAAAATCTCAGCTTGTGGTATGTGCATCTCCCTTCATCAATCTGAAAGCCAGGCCAGTTTACTAGGCAAAGAAAAATCTAGATTTTCTGAAATCTTGCAAGACATTTGAATAAAACTGGAGGCATGGAGTGACTAATAAACTGGATGAGAAGAAAGTGTATAAATTTTATCTCTAATATCAAATGTAATGGAAAATATCTGGGGGATTATCTGAATGGGAAGTTTAAGCTTAAACTTGTGGATTGTGAGACTATAAAATTAAAATAAAAGCAGCCAAACACACACAAAAAAAGTGGGATCATACACTTGGGGTGGAATAAGCTGCTTCAGTCCCTTCTGGAATTTCATACCAAGAGGGTTTGCTCTCTGTGGCAGTGGGGCAGCACCTGCCATCTCACTGCAGGGCACAACAGATGGTGAAGAGGAAAACTCTGCTCTGCTTT